GGGAGATCTCTCCTTTTCCTTCTACGGCCACATCCGTATTATAGTTTCGTAGGCATGCTGACTTCCTCAAGACTTTTCTTTCACCGTCAAGCACGCTACGAGTCAGCACTTAGCATTTAAAATTGCAACTAACAAAATCAGTTTTGCAGCCACGGATAGAACTCGATACGTTTGAGTACTATGGAAATTAAAGCGACTGTCCTGTCCCCTCTTCCCCAACACCGAGCAACCACGGCTCTCAATGTAAATATGTACTTTTCTCGGCGCCGCGCCCGTACCCTTACTTTAATTATCTTTTTATTAAATCGCTTTCGTGCATTTGTTCGGGTCGAATTAAGTAATTAATTTTCATACGTGGTAGAGCCACGCTGCAGCTATATTATGGTTGTTGTATTGTTGTAGCATGAATGGGTCGACTCGACCGGGGAAGCACCAGTTTCTCACAGAATACCAGCTTAATAGGAAGGATGGAAGGAACTGGAAGGACCACCCCTCTGGATGACAGGCGTGAGTGTTTATTTATGTAAGTTCCAATCAAAGCGAAAACTGGGCTTAAATAACAATCGAATAGAAGCGATATGTGAAACACCTTGTTGTAACATGTATGTGTAAGTATCTAGTTATAAATATTTTGAGGACATATATGAATATCATGCAACTTTCTTAAGTGTGTTCTCAGTCCGTCTGCTACTTTCGTGGTGTCAGGAGTTAGTCGTTAAAAGTTTTATTGAGATTTTTCTTAATAAACGAAATTGATGAATAATTCCATTATTAGGTACTTTTATATTATAAATACCTGCATAAGTTTAATTGAAAGGAAATGACGACCATATTTCATAATTTCAAAAAAAAAAAAAGATAAAATTAATAAAGTTGATTGTTAAAGTTGATTGTCTGTAGTAGGTATCGAAGTAACTGCCTTATATTGAATTGAAGGGGTTATTTCCATGCCATTAAGACGTGAATAACCATGTTTAAAAAATATTAGACTACATTCACAGTCACAAGCTATCAATTAATTATAAAAGAGTTGAAGTTAGCCTTTGTTAACTATGGTATCGTAACGTCAAACACCATGGCTGTAAAGTGCGCGGTACGTAGGGAATTTAAAAAGTTTCAATATAAAATGCGTAAAATTTGTGTTATTCCATAACTTGACAATCCAGTCGGAATATTTTGAATTACAAAACTAAAATAAGCTGTGGAAGCCTCCGGGTTCTTAAATTTCATGTTGTATTTCGTTTTGGCGTTATTGAAATTGGGTTTTCAACATCTATAATTAGTAATATAATAAAGTAGTTGTCGAATTAAAATGTAAAAGAACTGGCGCCAAGCTTCTGTATTGTACAGAAACGAAAGCAAGGATCTTTAAAAATGTACACTTTTCATAGAACTGCTATGGGGCTAGGGAATATCATTGAGTTTTGAAAAACGTTTTATTCCTTAGCCTATATACATCCCACTGCTGGGCACAGACCTCCTCTCATTTCTGAGAGAGATTTATGGCAGGAAGTGTCCACTGCGCCGCTTGCGTGTTGGCGGACTACACATGTCTTCGAAATATTTTTTTCTTATTGCTCAGAAATGCAAGCTTCCTCACGATATTTACCTTCATCGCAAAGCATGAGGTGAATCAGCACTTAAAATAGCAATTGACAATTGCATTGGTGCCCCCGGGGATCGAACCCGGGTTACTCGCGTACTGTGAAATGTACAGCGAGCACATAGCCCCTGAGCTACCATGATAAATGTAGATGTCTATAGACCTATATTTATTCTCAACGGGGTAATGAAACATAATATACGACGATATAAGAGAACGACGACAAATGACCACACAGTCCACCTGATGATATATGGACAGCTGTCCATAATCTAAAAAATGTAAAAAAAGCTCCCATATTATGTTTCATTACCACGTTGAGAATAAAACAAGGCTTGTGACCAGCAGGAAGTGTGTCTCTTGAATGGACTTAAAAACTTGAGCATTAATCGGATACGGCAATTATCATCACGAGATATGATGAATTCACTTTTAACATCATCCTTGATGAAACTAAAACAAGAGTGGCATCGTGATGTCCACACCATAACTACAGATCTGCTTGAAGTGATCTAGTTACCACGTAAAATTTCAATTTAGCTTGTGATGTATAATCGCTAAGTTTGAAAATTATATCGATTTTCAATTTTAATTTTGTTTTTTTTTTTACGCGCGCACTCTCCGAAACGTGTCCTATAGTATATAGGCCGAGAGACCGGCCACTCTGCACCTATGTTGCAGTCTAACAAGATATTGGTTTCAATACAACCAAATCAAAATAAATATGAATAGATATTAGAGGTAGATTTTATTGATATCCCATTTTCATTGAGATAGTGACTCACTTCGTGATGAATAAACTATTGAAGGTCATATAAACACGTAATGGTCAAGTTTAAACTATGCAAGGGACGAAATGGGAAGATTAACGGCTTCAGAAGTGATCTGAGACGTAAAGTAAGAGAAATTACAGTCTTTAATATGCAACTTTTATAAGTTAGAGGCACGGAACATACTGGAAATAGTCAAGCTCCATTTTACGTATTATATTTTGATAATATGGTGGGCGTGGCTTTTTAAGCGCGCTTACCAAGCATAATCGCGAAGTGTGCAGCCTCCGTAATTACTTTCTGACGAGATCGGATGATCAATTCTATAGGGACGTCATTTGTTGTGATAAAGGGCTTACCCCTCTATCCTTGGCCAACAAAGCATTTCCGACCGGGAGACCGTATGGAAGGAGTAGGAGCTCCACGAGAGGTTTTACAAGGCTCCACATGAACCTTTCGTAGACACAGTAACCTCCCTCAACTGGCTATGTTTCGGTGCCCTCTTCGGGGAAACCGAGGGTTTTGTCTTTGCGATACAAGATCAGGTTATTAAGACCAACAACTACCGGAAATACACCCTAAAAGATGGCACCGTCAACATCTGTCGAGCTTGTCGCCATCCCGGTGAGTCACTTAAGCATGTCATCTCCGGTTGTTCGGCGCCTCTGAGTACTTGCACAGGCACAACCTAGTAGCCAGAATTCTACACCAGAGCTTGCTCTGAAATACGGTCTCGTGAACCGGAAATTGCCGTATTAAAAGTACTTGCCGGAAGCCGTGCTCGAAAATGACCTCGCCAGGCTCTACTGGAACCGGGCCATCATAACAGACAGGACTATTCTTGCGAATAAGCCCGATATTGTGCTGATGGACCGGGTACCTACAGTCAAGAATATTTTTGGTCGACATTACCATTCCGTATGACGAGAACCTCGTCAAAGCCGAAACAGATAAGCGAACAAAATATCTGGACCTGGCTCACAAGGTGACCGACATGTGGGGTGGGCTGTCGACCGAAATTATAGTTGTAGTCGTTTTATAGCTTTTAAAAACTATATCACAGTAGAGCTATATCTGAAGCTGCTCTACGAGTATTAGTAGTACTCCTCCTACTCTGTAGCCTTCTTTCTGCAGCTTTCTTCATTTGGGCTTCAAGTCCAATAGTCTTCGCAGGTGATTACATAAAACTACGTTGTAACTATAGTCTGTACATGCAAGGCTACGAATTTAAAACTAATGAAAATGCTTATTTACCTCAGAAACATATTCTTCCTCGGCATTAGTTATCGTTAAAATTGCCGTCCTACTCCACTGAGGAAAATATCGATATAAAGGTGTCACCGTCGTCGCGGGGGGAGCTCCCATGCTCGCCGATGGTTTCGTACTGAATAGAATTATAAAAGCATTAGTGCACCAGACAACGGTCGAAATATTAAAATCGTTACACATTCATTACAATAAAACTCGCACCTGTTACGCACTAAAACTATAATGATTGTAATGACTCTACACGCTACATAAGTAGTTATATAATTCACTTATACTTATTTTGGTATGAGTTATAATATACATAGGACTTGTTATACCACAGCGTATTTATATAAATGGTAATAATATAGCTTTTCAATTTAACACAGTTCTTGGGATTAGTAAATTCAGAAATTTGGACCAAAGTACTTATTATTTTACCGCGTAAACCATTAAACAATACTGTTAATTAATGTAGAGGAGAGTAGGACTTTTTAATATTTTTAGATTATAGTTTTATATAGTTGAAGTGAGCGATACAGGCAAAATAATATTTTGTCTGAGGTGAGTGAGTGAAACTGTATTAAAATAAGTACATATTTTGAATCAGTAATTGTTCTACATGCAGTATATGTTAATTAAATGAATGTAAATAATATATAGGTATTTTCACTGTTTTATAAATGCTAATAATTATACAGTTTTATTCTTTGATTTAAATCATAGATTATTTTAAACACATTGTACACATACATATAGTTATTTGACATAAACATTATGCTGTTGCTAAGCAACAAGCTACGGATGAGCCATATGTAGATTAGTGGGTAGTAGTTTGGAACAAAAACGCGTATGAGTATAATACTTGATCCAAGAAACAAGCCCACAGTATACCTAATCCTAAGTAAATGCTGTGGCCTATAAACATTTACATCTACCTTCGATAGAGTTAAAATGCAAAATGCGTTGCCACCCCTGAATCTTCAGAGACCATTAACCATGTTGGAATCTAAAATATTGGAAACGGTGTAACAAGTGCTCCGACGGTGACCTTAAACTAAAGTTTTTTATCCGCATAGACACTGAGGAGCGATATGATTTGATTTGATGATCATAATTTCATCAACCGTTCACTAACCCAAAAACTTCGAAATAAGATGCATTAGCAGAATGTAAGACTAGACTGTATGGCCATAGATTCCTTTGATTTTATATAAAAAAAAACAACAACTAACAACAACAATCAAAAATTTGTTTTTGTTTACATGGTTACGTCAATTAAAATAATGAATGAAATGTTAGTTATCCTTTTACAATAAATATACAATCATTCGCAATTGCTAATTAAAATTTAATTTTGTGATTGCATTTCTTACATGATGATATCGGATGTGGATACTTCTTTGAGAGGATTTTCCTTCATGCCAGAGATCAAAACGAAAGAAATGGATTTGCAGGTTTATTTATCAAATATCTACGTAATAAGACATTATTATAAAAATTAAGATTATGCTCTGTCCAAAAAGACTTGAATAGCCTAAAATAACAAAAAAAAAAGGCAAATTTTTACATATTTTTTATAAACTGATATCATTAATAATTGCTATAAAGTTTCCACGTCTTTTATTATTTATGAAATGTAAAAGTCTCTTTTATAAATTTTTATAGTATGTAGAAGATCGTGAACTAGAACAAGCATGGAGATCAAGACGACGTGAACGTGTGAGGCAACAAGAACAAAAGATATGGGAGGAGTTCATCCAAGAACAAGACATTGTGCAAAGCGTCTACAAAAGTAGGATTTTATTATATATTATTTTATTATATTATACGCTCATATCTTCTATCTTTATAGATACATTATAGTGAGTTGACATATTAATTGATCCTAGACCTTTGTAATAAAACCATCTGATGTAAACACTAGTGCTGCAAAACTAAAAATCAAATGTGATATGTAAGAAAAGAATAAAATAGAAAAAATGAGATAATTTTTATAGGTCCATGTACAGTGAAAAGTGATGTTTAACATGCTGATTGAAATGAGGAAGAAGAATGTAAAAGACATCTTTTTAATCAATTCAGGCTTGATTAACACTCATATGTACTTGAAAATCTGGGAAAAGACACTGATATTAACAGAAAAACAGATTAATTATTATTTACTGTTCGCTTTTTTTAAATCTTCTGGGTTTTTTATTGGTTCTTTCCATGAATGAGGTATTTTCCATACCCCCCATGGTAAATTAGTCTTAAAATGACTTAATATGATTATTTATAACCTATTATGAATAAAAAAAAACATATCTGTTTTTATTTGTGTGTGATCATGGATGAATTTGCTTATTTTTTTCTTTTTTCTTCTTTATAAGTTCCCTTATATTGAATAAAACTATATTTACAGATTTTATCAAATTTAATTAACTACTTTAACTTATTTTTAAGTTCCTGACATTTCGGGTGCTTTACAGCACCCATGGTCATGGGGGGCACTGAGATGTTTGACGCCCCAATGTCATAGTTAGCCTGGCTACCTTCAGTTTTTTAATATTAATTTTCGGTCCGATCTACACAGTCAATCTGCTTACTATGACATTGGGAAGGCAAACATCTCAGTACCCCATACAAAACACAGCAGTATTAAGCTGCTATTTTACGCTGGTATTCTGTGAGAGTGTGGTCCTTCCCCGGATGAGCCGACCCATTCGTGCTACAACCATTATATAGCTGCAGCATGGCTTTACCAAATATGAAAATATTTTCAATTTACCAATTATTTGACTACAATTAAACCTCTTACTTAAATATTCGGTATTCAGCCGAATATTACCTAGATATTTGGTATTCGACCAAATAGGATAAACATTGTAGAATAGGCGTTCGGCCTATTCAGCTACTTTAATCTTATTACCAAATAATAGCTGAATATTCATTGCAAGTCTACTTTAAATTCATCTATTTGCTGGACAAAGGTGGTGGGTAACTTTTGAAAAGAAATGAAAGGCTGCAGTATAGTTATTACAGGTTCTAAAGCATGGCAACATGGAATATGTTAATACTTAGAAGTGACAACACATTTGTGAATTCGTTATTTGAAGTTGGGTGCAGATATCTTTGGACTTCAGTAGACACTATTATCAGTACTATAGTAGTAGTACTATAATAGTAGTATATGATTTTTTTTTTTTTGTATTTGGTGCAGTACCACCCAATGTTTATCTCTGCTTAGCCTAATGCTTGACTGACAGAGATTGCCTTAAGGCAATAAGTATACAGGCAAATTAATGGAAATTAAGCAATTTATCAGGAAAATTAATGGAGTAGATTCTCCTCGCACATGGCCTATACATACCAAAAGTTATTTTATTTTCTGTTTCAGGTGACCCCTATCAATTCATAGAAAATATACCAGAAACATGTCTGCAGGAACTCTTAGAGAAAGAGATCAATAAAATGCAAAAGAAAAAGGTTGAAGAGGAAGTGAAAGTAATAAAGCAATTTATTATTTATGTAGTATTTTTATATTTATCTAATATATTATAGGAATATGGTATGGATTCTTCCGCTAACACACAGTGTAACTGAATCCAAAATGGTATGATTTTGCCTTGTGGTTGTACTAAGATTCGACCATGAAAAACATTTTCTTTTATTAATAAAATACTGGAGCCGTGGTAGCTCAACAAACTAGGTTTGGTTTGCTACATGCTCGGCGGTGAAGGAAACAGTGAAAGATCATCGTGGAGGAAACCTGCATGTCTGAGAAATACTCAGAAAGCAGATGAGCCTTGTGCCCAAGAGTGGGACATATATGTGCTGTAATGTTTTAAGAAAATACCAATAATGGAATTAACATTACTCATATTTCCTTTAATCACTCCTGGTAAGCTAAAAATGCTTGTGTTAAGAGTGGTTCACGACGGTAGTGGAATGGCGGACTTGAACGCACGAATTTTAGCGTTGTTGTTTGTGAAGTTTGTGTTGCGCGCCCTGCATTGGGCTACTCTACTTAAATTGTGGTTTCCAATAGATCGTGGTATAACCATCTTGTATAAGCATGACATTAATTACAAAGACCTGCGACAGGTTTGTAAAGGGTGCAGTCAATATATTTGAGTGTGTGTGAAAAATAATGCAAATCATTTCCTCAAAGGGGGTGGGGTCCAATTTTTATGGCATCGGGTGACAAACGAGCACACAGTCCACCTGATGGTAAGTGAATGCTGTGGCCCATAGACATAGACATACACATTTATCCTCACTTAAGAATCAAAATGTAAATGCGTTGTCACCCCTGAGTACTAAGATGGAATGCCTCAATTGCAGTAAAAATGGTCTCCGGTTCTCTACACTTACCATACGAAACATGCAGTAATAATCTGCTATTTTACGCTAGTATTCTGTGAGAGCATGGACCTTCCCCGGTCGAGCTGACCCATTCGTGCTATAAGCATAATATACCTGCAACGTGGCTCTACCACATAATATATGGAATTCAATAAATAAAAATTTATATGTGTATAAATTTGTATATGTAGGTATAATTAAAATTGAAGGGTGTCGATTTATAAATATTTAACTAACCGTCGTATATTGAACTGGGAAGGATCATTTTTAAATTTCTTTTCTGTCTGTCTGCGGGTCTAATTTTCGCAATAGCTGAACCTATTGTAATGATACTTGACTTAAATTGTATGCGCTTATTTATTTATTTATTTATTCTTTATTGCATTCTTTAATATACAAGAATACAAGGGCGGACTTAATGCCTTGAGGCATTCTCTACCAGTCAACCCATAATGTGGTGAGAATTTTATGTAGGTGTAGCAATGTAGAATAAAAATAAAATAAAAATGATAATTAACTATGTTATATATACATTTTACTCATATATAAAATAAATTAACTATAGAAATATCTCCTATTTATACATATATACAAACATATACATACATACATATAAATACACATATATACATATCAACCTATACATGTATTTATATGTATGTATGTATATGTTTGTCAAATAACGCCATGTTAATGATTCTACCCAAGCAAAGCTGGGGTGGGTCGCTAGTATATTATTGTAACGGAGACAAATGGCAGGAAGAAGATGCAGTTGAAATAGCCACCACTCCTCCAGACACTCCATCAATTGTTGTCCAAAATGACAAGACATACAATGAACGGCAAGATATGCAAGAAGTATTACACATTTTCTACGATGATAAAGACAACGAGGAGTTGTCAGGTAAGTTTTTTTTACTATTCTAAGCCAGTGCTTAAATCTCACCAGATGGTAAGTGGTGATGTAGCCTAAGATGGTGAAGCGCGCTAAGCACGAAAGCCTATTTACTCTTGCCTTAAAGACATTGCAAGGTTCTCAAGGTTCTCTACACTTACCATACGAACACACAGCAGTATTAAGCTGCTATTTTACACTGGTTTTCTGTGACAGAGCTGTCCTTCCCGGTGGAGCCAACCAATTCGTGCTACAACCACAATATATCTGCAGCGTGGCTCTACCACATATAAATATATACATTGCAATCGGGTGGAAAGACAGATGCTGGCAACTTATTTCTTTTTGTTTTGTATACTCGAAGTGATAAACGAACTTACAGTCTACCTGATGGTTAGTGGTTACTGCAATTCATAGACACTGCAGCCAACTTCAAACAAAGAAAGCTAAAAATGCGTTGTCACCCCTGAGAATTAAGATGGAATGCTTCACAGAGTGTAATTATACTTAGTCTCTGTACTCTTCAGATCGTAGACAGCCATAGAAGCACTGCTATTGGGTGCCAGAAACAGGTAAGAGCAGTTTCTGTGGCGGCGCTGTCGTCGAAGCCTAAATCGCGCTATCAAAGTTCCAAAGTAAAAACAGTATATATCGAATAGCTCCATACACACCGAGCGTTGGCCGTTCCCCGGGCAGAACACGTTGCCCGACGGGAGATCTCACCTTTTCTCTCTACGGTCATATATCTACCCAGATGTACTTTTAGAGAGAAAAGGAGAGAGGATACCATTTAGTAAACAATTTTTTTTTTTGGTAAGCAATGATGTAAATAGATCTCATTTTCTGTATGTATCAACGTCTTACCTATTATGTTTAGATCTCACGTGTGACAACACATTAAGAAGTTGGTTGATGCTTGTAGTTTTCAGGAGCCACTTACTATCATGAGTACTGTAAGTTTTCTTATCACTCTTATACTGAAAAGTTCACTGTTGGCTCATTATCATTACAGCCCTTTACAAGTCCATTCAGTTTTCCCCTAGGAACGCCATAAATCACGGTTTGGAGTGACTCCAAACCGTGATTTATATATATACAAACAAAGAGATACAAATAGCACATAGTCATTCTTTGTGACAATCTATGCTGGGAAGCCTATGTTTAGCAGTGACTTGTGACGATTCCTATTCTATTCTTTTAAAAAACGTTACCCCACATTAGAAATTCCTCCTGTATCGTGGAAGCAGCTTACATACATAAATTGCACAAGGACATTGTAGGCCATACAAATACACGTTCCGTGCGGGATTCAAACCCGCGGCATTTATCGCTGCAACTCAGTGCTAAGCCACTGCGCCACGGAGCCGTCAGTGACACTTCGTGATGACAGAATTTTTTTTGTTATTTATTAATTTATTTTAAAATGAATTATACTTTAGGTAACGAGGGCGAGGTGTTGAATGAGTCTGGTGGCAGTCCTTTGTGTACCGTCAGAGAGAATCAGGTAGAAAAGGAACAGCCGAAAGCACAAGAACCCAGTCCAAGTCCTGAGAAAGTACCAGGTTAGTATAATTATTATAATCTATTTTTGGCTGGTTGGGGGACCGTATAACGCGGAGCTAGTATTTGCCTTAGTATTTAATAGTATGTGATTCATAAACATCAATCTGATCCCTGGCAACATTGCTGAAATTATTAATCTTAATTTTAAGTGTTGATTTATATTAAATTTTGACATGTCCCAATAATCGAAAATATTTGGAAAACTTTCTACGTGGCTTAATGTTCAATTTGCAGCAAGAATGGGTCAGCTAGACCTGTAAGGGATCACGTTCTCGCAGAATACCGGAGTAAAATAGCAGCTTAATGCTGCTGTGTTCCGTATTGTGAGTGCAGAAAATCCGAGATCGGTTTTACTGGTAAAGAGGCATTATATCTCAGTTGAGGACTAAGATATAGTGCCTCGGGTGAGAATGCATCTACATTTTGATTAATCGAGAATAGATGTAGGTTTGTATGGGTCACAACATCCACTTATCATCACGTCGACTGTGTGTTCATTTATCAGCAGATGCGTTGTCAACCCTGTGGACTAAGATGGAATGGCTCGTTTACAGAAATACTTTGTTTCCAGTAAATTGTCGTTTCCAGTAAAACTTCGTTTCCACTAAAAAGTGGTTTCATACTAACGTAAAATAACAGCTCAATGCTGCTGTGTTTTGTGTGGTGAGTGTAAAGAACCGGAGACTTTTTACTGAGAGGCTCCTTTCACTTTACTGAAAATGAGGCATTCCATCTTAGTCCTCAGGGGTGACAACGCATCTGTATTTTGATTCTTAGTTAGGGATAAATGTCTATGGGCCAGAGCATCAGTTACAATCAGGTGAACTGTGTGCTCGTTTGTCACCATTATTATATTATAAAAATGTGTGTATGATGCGCGTTCCCGTGGCACTGCCAATATGCGGCAAAGGTGGACCGTGTTACACCATGGGGCTTTAGTCAGTGTGACTCCTACATTACCTGTCCCTGCCCTCGCGAAGAGTATATACATTGGTATTTCTTCATGTAAATAAAACTCAGTGCACTTAGTTGAGATGGTAATTAAGCACTAAGTTTAAAAAAATTGCACAGAAAATGAATTTCTATTGAATATCTCTTTAGTTTTATCCGATGGCGTTGTGCCTTATTTGCCTGGGAGTACCTATATCTTGCAGCGTGGTAAAGAAAATAGTGAGATAAGTTTTATTTTTTTCATGCATAAGTATGTTATTTTGTAAATTGTATTTTGTTAAAGGAAGGAAATTATTAAATAGGAAATCTGAGATAAAAGTATATTTTGTGTGAATAAAATGATTTTCCCTAACATCTTAATAATGCTACATATCACCTTTATTCACTAGTCACTCGTGTATTATAGATGGCAAGGTATTGCACCTAAGTCCTCAGGGGTGTGAAAGCTTCTTATTTTAAAGTTGGTTACATGTGTGTCGGCAGGCTTCAACAGCACTTACCTCTGATGAACTACGAGCTCGTTTGCTATTCTAGTTTTATATAAAAGAATATCTGTTTATAATAAAAATATGGTTGTATGTATTAGTTTCAGGTAAATCTTCCGGAAACGTGGCAACCATGGTTGAGAACAGCATTTACTGCGCGAAAGTGAAGGAGCTTCGAGCCAGAATCAATGAAGAACTTTTGAGCATCATGTGAGTTGAGAATATTATTCTTTTTATTTAACTAGCTTTCTACCCGCCCCGCCCTCCACCCCGGTTTGTTTTAGGATTAATATATTATAAGTATCTTTGGTGTTGGACTACCAACCATTGACGGCTCCGTGATGCAGTGGTTTAGCATGGATTTTTATGCAATTAGTGTATTTAAACTGCCAGTAACAGTACAGTAAAAAATCCTAGTGTGGAGGAAAAGTAAAATGTAGCAGGAGTTTGGAGATCTATCACAGTGTGTAAACTAGTGGAATTTAGCAGCTGGATTTAATCCGAACAATTCATTGGAGTTGTAGAATGTATGATAAAGATACATGGAGGATATACAACAAATAGATGCACTTGACCGGTGAAGGTTATTTTTCACCCGACTTCAAATTAAGGAGGAGGTTCTCAATTTGACTGTATTTTTATGTGTATTAACCTCGGACCTTTTTTCTAGGTGAACCGATTTTAATGATTGTTTTTTATTTAAAAGCTGGTGCTTCTCATGATGTCCCATATAAATTTGATCAAGATCTGATAATAGTTTTTGAGTTTTCCTAAATAATAATAATAATGTCCTCCAGACCCAATTTCGGTCACGACGGCCTGCTTCAACGGAGACTAGCTATTGGCGCAGGTGCACTCTCTATTCCCTCACACTCATAATCCGTGTGAACGTCGTACCGCCAACTTCTTAACTTCGAGCAGCTACTGAAAATTTCTTGACGGAAAAATTCAATAATAGTTTTTTTGGTCCGACCCGGGGTTCGAACCCCGGACCTCATGATCAGCAGTCGTACTACTACAATCGCTAGACCAACGATGCAGGCAATATCCTAAATAATGCGTATTTAATTGACTTCGACTAAATTGATAATGTTCTCACTTTATTTATATTGAAGTCGGTTGTACAAAATTTTTAATTTTACCACTAGAGTAATGTCAATTCACTTTACCATCTTCAGCTACATCACCATTTACCATCAGGTAGGAGAGTAGTCAAGCACTGGTTTAGAATAATTTATAGAAATAAAAGGCCAACATAAAGGTGTGTATCTGTCACCGATCACAGATGTGTTCCGTTTCGCCGAATCTGACCCGGAACGCTTTGGATTGAAAGTTTTCTCCTTTTTATTTAAAGTGCGACAGTGGAACATCAGAACTTAATCAACATGGATCCGGAGGACCTGAAGAAGATACAGAAGCGCTCATCGGAGTTCTCCTCTCGATTTAGCCGCATACACTTGTACCAGTTGCAGAGGCAGGTGAGTTGAGATCTGCCAAGTAACTTCTCTCTGCTGGGCACAGACAGTGATATTTGAGAAGTAAATATTATGTACAATATGTTATATGAAGTGCAATGGCCGTCAACATACGACTCAAGATTGTGTCAGCCACATATAGATACGAAGTGACTTGTTGACTTGTGTGTAATAATTGTAATAGAAATAAGACGAATTTGATACGTGACAGAGCCACGCTGCAGTTATGTTATAGTTGTAGCATAAATGGGTTGACTCGACCGGAGAAAGACCATGCGCTCACAGAATATCACCGTATAATAGCAGCTTAATACTGCTGTGTTTCGTATGGTGAGTGTAGAGATAGATCCGGAGACATTTTTTTTAATTAAAAAGAGAGCATTCTATCTTATTCCTCAGCGGTGACAACGCATCTGGGTTTAGATTCTCAATCGAGGATCAATGTAGATGTCTATGGGCCACAGCATTCACTTACCATCAGGTGGACTGTGTGCTCGTTTGTCACCCTTATTCTATAACAAAAGAATAATAAATATAACAAGGTAATATATTATTTTATATATATATATATATATATAAAGGTGACGCCATGTCATCATCATCATCATCGTTTCAGTGCTTGACAAGTTGCTGAACACTGCCTCCCAAGGAAAACCACAAAGCACGGTCCCGAGCCACCTGCATCCATCGACTTTCTGCATGTCGTGTTGATATATGAACTTGAGATGTAGTCGTAAGCATTTGGCTGTATGAGGAAGTTCAAGGTCGCTTAGCGAGCTACGAGGAGTGTTGTATGCTCGGAGTTTCACCGCGCGATAAATTTCAACTACAGTGAATGCCATAGTTCAAGGTATCAGTAAGCTAAAGGTTGCTCATATAGCTCGAACAACCGACAACCGGCGGAGAAGAAAGGTTTTCGAGTGACAGCCTAAAAGCGGCAAACTAAGTTGACACCCATTAGATAGAGTAAAGTCTTGGTAAGACATGCATTAATTCACAGTAAAACATCTTATGAACCATAAAAGCTAGTTAAATAGATGAACAAAAATATGAAATTTTTTAAATTTTTTTTCCCTTTTACGATGTATCATATAATATAATGAATTTCGGTCACGGCGGCCTGCCTCAAAGGAGGCTAGCCATCGGCGCAGGACAGGATCATAGTGCTCAAGTGTATGTGCAAGCACAGGTGCACTCTCTATTCCCTAACTCTCACAATCCGATGGGACGGGAAACCGACACGACCGGGAGAGAGATCAGGCGCAGGACCAACGGCTTTACGTGCTTTCCGAGGCACGGGAATGAGACACCGCCAACTTCCTGACTCCGGGCAGCTACTGAGAATTTCTTGGCGGCAAAACTCAATAATAATTTTTTTGGCATGACCTAGAATTCGAACCCAGGACCTCATGATCAGCAGTCGCACTAGTACAACCACTAGACCACCGAGGCAGTCACGGCATGTATCATATATACCAGATGTGAAAGAACCTTACACAGTAAATAATAAAGGCGAATGATATCTGCAATGGGTTGATTACAGCAAATTATTCGTATTAGATAGGCCCATGACCTGGTGTGAATATTTATGGATCAATAAAGACGAACAAAAGTATAAAATAAAAATATAATGTGCCGCATTAGCTACATTACAGGCTCGATAGTGTACTTAGGCTATTGGTGTTCAATTTTTCAATGCAGATACAAGATCTGAAGCGACACAACAGTGCGGCTTCGCTGCCGTTCGGGCAACACACACAGCTGCAGGCGCAGATGGTGAGGACTGTGTCGCTCTATCAGAACTTGTGGCAGGCCTTCTGCGTGAGTACCTACTGGACTATTTCTCTTATTTTACAATCTATTAACATCAGTAGTCGCTAACTAACAGGTAAAATGTTTCTTTGGTGTTTAAATTTAATTAAAAAAATATTCCAAAGAAAATCTCGTTAATAGTTTCCTGTTTATAAATCAAATCAAATCAAATAGTTTATTTGTGATTCACAGATTACAAAAAGGCATTAATTATGGGCGTACAAATGTCAAATATCATTCGTAGTTTATAGATTACATATTTATAATAATAGATTAAATTATTAGGTAAAATTATTCATCTTAAATATTATTGGATTAGATTATTCATGTTATATTAGATTATGTATAAATTTTATTATACAAGGTGTAAGTGTAAACACCGTTGTCACTAAAACTCTATTCCAATTACGAAGTCCCTTTTGACACTTCTTAGAACTCTTCACGTTTCGCATAATTTGAAATAATAATCAGTTTTTGTTCATGGTCGTAAATAAGCGTTTAAAAATACACAATCAATCTATACTAAATCTCTGTCCACGCAATTTATTTTTTATTTTAGGGAAAGTATAGAAATCATTAGGGCTTAGGTCGGGGCTGTATGGCGGATGGTCTAATAATTCTATGTTTTCTTGCTCTAAAAACTCTTTTGTTCTGTGTGCGGTGTGAGAACTCGCATTGTCGTGATGAAGGATGATGCGGCGGTTGCAGTTCTCTTTACGGAGTTCAGAAACGACCTGTGGCAAACAAATGCTAGCATACCATTCTGCATTAACCGTTCTTTGTCCCTCAAGAGGAATAGTCGTAACATGGCCGGTTTTGGAGACAATCGTGGCCACCATTTTTTTGCAACACTCCGTAAACGAACAATTTTTGTTGGCTTTAACTCATTTTCGAAAACCCAAACTCGTGACTGGTTTTTTGTTTCGGGTTCGTACGCGTATATCCAGGATTCGTCACCTGATACGATGTTGTACACAGCATTTGAGGATCCTGCGTGGAATCTTTCGAGAGTTCTGACGCACCAAGTAACGCGAGCCGCTTTTTTGCTCTTCACAGAGCGAATGCGGTATCCATCGGGAAAACAACTTTTTTACACCTAATTGTTCATGCAAGATTATTTGTATTTGACTCATGCCAATGTCTAAAGTTGCCTAAATTTCGCGGTATGTCACATGTCGATCTTTCTCAATTAGCTTACGCACAGCATCAACGTTTTCTTGGGTGACTGCAGTTTTTGGACGACCTTGACGGGGATCATCACTAAGCTTGACACGTCCACGTTGAAATTCAGCAAACCAGCGATAAATTGTGGTTTTGGATGGGGCTTCATCACCAAATGCAGAAATCATCCGGTCAACACACTGTTTTTGTGTTAAACCACTTCGAAAGTCATAATAAATAATCGCTCTTGAATTATCTCGAGTCAATTTCGTTTTCTCAACGACTAAACAAGTTTGACAAAACCTTGTGACAAGACCGAGAATCTTTTTTAATAAATAAATGTATTCGATTTTTAAAACCAAGGAGTTTTCAATTAAAAAGATTTTAATATGACAGGAACAGTGGAAATATTCCATTCCCGATACTTTTAGTGCAGCCTAGTACGAAAAAAAAAATTTGATTTTCGCTGATTGGGACAAAGACATACATATCGAAGCCATCATAGATAACCAAATTATAATAAATACAGGGGATTCTACAGCCCCCCCCCCCCCGAACGGGTTCCCGCCTTGTCGTGGCGGGGGGGCTTAGTAGCCGTGGCTTGGTCTCCCACGGTGAACAAAGAGGAACCCACGTGGCTGGCCCGAGGTGAAGGGCCGGCCTGAGGTGGCCACTCCGAGTGGGCTTGGGGAGCCCACTTCGGATGTGTGCTGGTGGACTGCAGCGAGTAGGGACTCGCGCACCCTCTACCGCTGCAGCCGAGGTGGAGTCGCGGAGGAAGAGGAGTGTTGGTATGGCGATGCGCCACTCGCCCTATCCTTCGCGACTCAAACGGGGCCGCACCGTTGATGCGGTGGTGGTGGGGCTGCGGGGGGAGAGGATTGTCGGTATTGCGAGGCGCCGCTCTCCCTACCCTCCGCAGCCGAATCTTGGTTGTCGGCGGAGCCATAGACCAGAACCGCAGCTGGGGTCGGGAAGGCTAGTACTTCTAAGTGCTCGTTTTTCCTGGCCCCATGGCCTTTGTGCATCGGACGCGGGGGCGTCTGTTGCACAGACGTAATTGGAGGCCGTGGAGGAAGGCGCGCCATGTGTTCTGGTGCGCCTTACCTGGGAAGGAGAACGGGGAGGAATTTTCCTCTCCCGAGGAGGTGCTGCCATGGGGCGGCAGGCGCTAGTAGGGCCGCGGATGTGTGCGAAAGCGTTCCCGTAGCCCTGCCAATATGCGACAAAGGTGGAACACCATGGGGTTTTAGTCGGTGCGAGTCCGACATAACCCGTCCTTGCCCCCGCGAGGCGGGTATGCGTAGGCATTTCCCCATGTAAAAAAAAGGGGATTCTACTGACGATGATGGGGGTGATGACGACGATGCCGACCATGAAATATCGATTTCGGCTAGTGATGATGAATATGTTCCATCTTGATAAAAATATCATGTAATATTATCTTAATTACACAGTTACATCAGTTAAAAAAACAGTTTTATAAATTTTAATTTGATGCTAATCCTTTTTCTGTCAATACGATTTTAATTCGTTCGTTATAGTAATCGAAGATCAATATCGGCGACTATAGCGGTACTTTACTAGTACTTGATTATTGACATCTGTCAAATGGGACTTCGTAATTGTATAGTTGGCTTTAATATAAAAATATTTATCCGAGTTAAAAAGAACGTTATTTTCGTTCATAAAATTTAAAAAGTTTCTGTCCGACACCGTCCGTAAATTCATGGATACCCTATGCGCCCGAGTGAGGTAATCACTGTAAAGATCGCCGCCCGCACTAGCTACCTACACAACATTCCAATAAAAACACAATAGGTACACATAACCTGTGATGTAACTTTTCCTTCATACTTTCATCCTGGCTTAGGACAGGTAAAAATTGGGGAATTAAGGAAAAATTGAGATTTTACTAAAAAATGTTGTTATTTTTAGTGAATTTACGATCTATAAGTGAAACCAAACCACTGGTTTCAAGGATAGCGGTGTTTACACTAACACCCGTATGTATAATTTTATTATTTGTCATGTAATACAGTCAACCAGACTTTAACTATGCAGACTATTTATTTATTTTTAGGCGAGTTATTATGTGTATTGAATAACTATGTGGATGGAATGAGGAAACCTTTAATTTGTGGTAGTCATGTCATGTCAAATTTTTTGTATTGTCTACATATTATCTTATTTCATATCACGTCGTTCTTCTAATATTGAAGAAGACTTGGCAAGTGGACTATAAATGAAGAAACTGTATTGATTGGGACTATGTTTAGGAATGATAGATGAGGCAAAACCACAATGATTATATTCATTATTTAAAAATTGCGAAACTTACAGAATGTGGCACTGTAATTTATTAATCAACGTAACTTTAGCAAAAAGAAGGATTTTCTTGTTGTAATCCTCTGAAGCTGTTCTGTGCCGGGAATATCCTCCGGTCGGCCGGCGGCCTGCTTTTCCCTGCTCCCCTCCCCCCAAGCCGCGACAAATATTTTTGTATAACAAACAAGCGAAATGATTTGTCAACAGTCCCTTAAGTTTAGTCTGCTCGGTCTGTTTTATGTCCTATCCCAATACATACTACCATCTACTACATCGCCACTTACAATCAGGTAGGATAGTAGTCAAATACTAGCTTTTAAGATTAAAACAATGTTCTGCAGGCGTTGCACAAGTGGTTCAGGCAGAGTTTGTGTACTGGCGCTGTGGTGACACTGTGCCGCTGTGCCGCGCGACTGCCGCGCGATTTGCCCGCCTTCCCCGCAACACCGGATCCGTGCAACGACGTAAGTCATACACACTGTTCCTTGCTTAAGTCACACACTGTCCCTAAATAGCGACGCGCTGGCCTTCGTAAAGTCACACACTCTCGCTAATAAGCGTCACTTACTGTCCTTCGTCAGCGTTACACACTGTCTCTAGTTAGCGTCATACACTGTCCCTTGTCTGAGTTAAACACTATCCCTCGTCAGCGACACATACCGTCTCTAGTTAGCGTCACACACTCTCACGTCAGAGTCAAATACTGTGCCTCGCTAACGTCACACAATATCCATCGTCAGATTCAAACACTAAACTGTCCCTACAGTGTCTGAACACAGTCTCTAGTTAATGTCATACACTGTCACTTGTCAGAGTCAAACACTGTCCCTCGCTAGTGTCACACACTGTCCCTCTGCAGAGGCAAACACTATCCCTCGCTAACGTTACACTCTATAACTCGTTAGATTAAAACACTATCCCTAGTTAGCGTTACACACCGTCCCTCATAAAGTCAGACACTGTAGCTAGTCAGCGTCACACCATGTCTCTAGTTAGCGTCACACACAGTCCCTCGTCAGAGTAAATACTGTCCCTCGATAACATCAAATACTGTCCCTCGTCAGATTCAAATACTATCCTTAGCGTCACACATTATCCCTCGTCAGAGTCAAACACTGTATCTAGTTAGCGTCATACACTGTCCCTTGTCAGAGTTAAACACTATCCTTCGTCAGCGTCACATACCGTCTCTAGTTAGCGTCACACATTCCCACGTCAGAGTCAAATACTGTGCCTCCCTAACGTCACACGATATCCCTCGTGAGATTCAAACAGTACACTGTCTAAACACTGTCTCTAGTTAGCGTCATACACTGTCTTTTGTCAGAGTCAAACATTGCCTCTCGCTAGTGTCATACACTGTCCCTCGTAAAGTCATACACTTTCCCTCCTCAAAGTCAAATACAGTGGCTCGCTAACGTCATACACTATCCCTCGTCAGATTCAAACACTATACCTAGTTAGCGTCCCACACTGTCCCTCGTAAAGTCACATACTTTCTCTACTTAGCGTCACATACTATCCCTTGTCAGATTCAAACACTATCGCTAGTTAGCGTTACACACTGTCCATCGTAAAATAACACAATGTAGCTGGACAGCTTCACACACTGTAGCTTGTTAGCGTCACAAACTGTTCCTCGTCAGCGTCACACAATGTCTCTTGTTAGCGTCACACACTTTCCCTCGTCAGAGTCAAATTCTGTCCCCTCCTAACGTACCCCCTTCAACTTTTGTACACACTGTCACTCGTCAGACTCAAACACTGTCTCTAGAAAGCGTCATAAACTGTCCCTTGTCAGAGTCAAAAACTGACTCTCTCTAGTGCACACACTGTCCCTCGTTAAGTCACGCACTGTTGCTAGTCAGCGTCACACACTATCCCTAGTTAGCGTCACACACTGTCCCTCGTCAGAGTCCAAACACTGTCCTTCGCTAACGTCACATACAATCCGTCGTCAGATTTAAACATTATCCTTAGTTAGCGTCATACATTATCCTTAGTTAGCGTTATGCACTGTCCCTTGTCAGAGTTAAACACTGTCCCTCGCTAACGTCACACACAATCCCTCGTCAGATTCAAACACTATCCTTAGTTAGCGTCATACACTATCCTTAGTTAGCGTCATGTACTGTTCCTTGTCAGAGTTAAACACTGTCCCTCGCTAACGTCACACGCAATCCCTCGTCAGATTCAAACACTATCCTTAGTTAGCGTCATACACTATCCTTAGTTAGCGTCATGTACTGTTCCTTGTCAGAGTCCAAACACTGTCCCTCGCTAACGTCACACGCAATCCCTCGTCAGATTTAAACACTATCCTTAGTTAGCGTCATCGTAGCACTGTTCCTTGTCAGAGTTAAACACTGTCCCTCGCTAACGTCACACGCAATTCCTGTCAGATTCAAACACTATCCTTAGTTAGCGTCATACACTATCCTTAGTTAGCGTCATGTACTGTTCCTTGTCAGAGTTAAACACTGTCCCTCGCTAACGTCACACACTATCCCAGATTTCAGATTCAAACACTATCGCCAGTTAGCGGCACACACTGTCACTCTTCAGAGTCAAAACTGTCCTTCGCTAACTTTACGCACTGTACCTTATCAGAGTCTCACGCTTTAAATTTTTTTTTAAATTGATATCACTTGATTATAGATTAATTATAACCATGAATCTTTGGCAAAAAGTCATCAGCACTGGACAAAACCTGTTCTAAGGTAATGGCGCCCGAAGATTCTTCACTCCGCCACACGAGCTGTACACATCCTTGAAGTATTTCTTTCATAAAATAAACTGATCCTCAAAGTGTTTCTTTGATCAGCTGATATCGTTACCATTACCATAACAGTCTATCGAAAGTCCGCTGCTGAACATAGGCCTCCCCACGGATTGCCACATTAGCCATTTTCACAGTTGCCGCGCAACTATGGCAAATGTGGCATTCTGCGTAGGCAACCGCAATTTATCCCGGTTTAGTTGCCTCTGTCACCTTTTACGACAGCCTAGGGTAGTGCATATTCTAACACCGTAGTAGCTCAGATGGTTAGCGCTCGCTGTAAATTTCACAGTACGCGAGCAAACCGGGTTCGATCCCCGGCGCCACCTATGAAATTGTTAATTGCAATTTTAAGTGCTGATTTACCACGTGCTCGGCGGTGAAGGAAAACATCGTGAGAAAATCGACATCTCTGAGAAATAAGAAAAAAATATTTCGAAGACATGAGAAATATGCCAACACGCATCAAGGCAGCGCGGCGGACACTTCCTTGACCTAAAACTCTCTCAGAAATGAGCGGAGGCCTGTGCCCAGGAGTGGGACGTATATAGGCTGTAACTTTACTTTTTATATTCTAACATTGCTACTAGGTTCGGTATCAGCTGACGATGATCTTAAATTATCATGATCATTTAAAGCCATTGTACTACTGCGTACAAATTGTGCGTTCCAACCCTTTGTACAACTACTCGTATAAACCACTTCTAGCCAACGGAGACAGAGATTTAATTTGGTCAGACGTCGAACTGAATATATTAACTCTTCAATAGCATAATTTAACAAAATAAAAATCTTATCCACAGGATTTACTGAAAACTTGTGACCGGTTCGAAGAAACGGTAGCCAAACACGGTGAAAGAGCAGATGAATTGATTAAAAGCCTCGAGGATGCTGTTAGTATATATTATTAATAAATATTTGTTTATTCACTCTACGAATTTTACATCATAACTTACACTAGTTAAATAAAAAGTTCCATTCATTACATTGAGAGGTTAACGTCGGCAGCCGTACTAGTGTAAACTGTGCTACGACTGCGCGTGCCTTCCACTCCGGGAATTAAAATTATATTACCTGATAGAGCCATGCTGCAGTTATATTAGTAGTATAGTTGTAGCACGAATGGGTCGGCTCGACCGGGGAGGACCACGCTCTCACAGAATACCAGCGTGAAATAGCAACTTAATGCTGTTGTGTTTCGTAAGATGAGTGTAGAGAACCGGAGACATTTTTTAGTGGAAAGGAGGCATTCCATCTTAGTCCTCACGGGTGATAATGCATTTCCATTTTGATAGATGTAGATGTCTATGGGCCACAGCAACCACTTACCATCAGGTGGACTGTGTATTCGTTTGTCACTATAAAAAATAGGTAACTTCTTTTACAATATTTTTAACAAACACTACTAAAATATTTTCAAGCATGAATAAAAATTAAAACATGTATATATATAATATAAATCATCGCTTTTTATTACCTGCATTATATAATAGAATAAGCAATATTTTTATTATATATTAATAGAAAATAATTATTCGCTGCCATATAATATAAAACAACCGTGGCGTCCATTTTGAGTTTAGCGTGTGTTTATAGCGATAAGCTTTCGACAAATTTTACAACGCGCGGTACAATGCAGGCACCTTCGATGTTCATCACAGAATACAGCGTGAAATAGCAGCCTAATTCTGTTGTGTTTCGTATGGTGGGTCATCCATTAAACATCCATTTAACATCATGTGGACTGTTCGTTTGTCAGCCTAATTCTTTAAAAAGCATAATTTATTATCTATAGTCATTGCTTAATATATGGCTACCACACAGAGGAAATATTTGCCATAGTTGCCACGTTTGGTTGTGTGAGAGAAAATGCTACTGCCTATGTCCAGGTTCTGTTTCCCTCTGTTGCCTCTTCCGGGAGCTGAACTGGAACCTGAACAAAATTTAAAAGTATTGAGTTTTCGTTAGCGACAAGCTCTAACATCCTATTTCACCTCCTTAGGGGTTAAATTTTCCAAACCCTTTCTTAGTGGGTGTCGACGTCTAGAAAGGAGAATATATATTTCAAATCAATTTGGCATATAGTTTTGCAGATGTCGTAATGAGTAAGTGGATCAATATAACAACTTTGTAAGAAATTGTGATATACCGTGGTATATCAAACACTTCTGCGTACCTCTTTAGAGTATGCATCAATATAGTGCATAAATATGCGATAGCAGGAAACGCGGTTGATTATCTGGCATTTATTAAAGAGTTTCGTTGTCTGCCTCCGAAACTCATCATCAGATATTTACGAAATTAAAATGGGACCATTTTGAAATAAACCTCTTTTGAACAAAAATAAAAGAATTTTGCAAATCCGTCTATATATGACGGAGTTATACCCAAACATACATTAAAATATTTATAAACATGCGAATTGAGAACCGTCTCCATTTTTGAATTCGGTTACAATCCCCTACAAATAGTCATTACAAAGTAAGACTGCTCTGCAATTATTCGTAAAAAATACTTAGATAAACACTTGTAAAATAAATTCTTTTGATTAATTTATTTCTAGAACAATCCATACGCCAAAAAGCCGAGCAAAAATATGGCGAAGAAAAATCCAAGCAGTGCCTATTTAAAAGCCGGCCCCAAATCAAGTAAGTTGGGCACAGTTGATAAGCATTTTATGTTATAAGTAATTGTAGTATTTTTACTATTGTATCCAAGTCCATTCTCTATATACTGGTGACCTTTTTTATTTTTGTAAAATATTAGTGCCATAGGCATCTACTCCGTTCACATGTTACACCCTTTTTTCCCAGACGATAAAATTGGTCATCCAGTATAGGTCTTGAATGCGCAGAAGTCGATATTTAGATCTGTTTAGCGAAAGAAGTGAGGCGCGAAGGGAGAGACGCTCGTTACCGGCGTTCTATTGGTCGCTCAGTCGCCTACCTCACGCCTTGCTCCATTCATTCATCGCAAAGCCCTCAGAGTACAGTCGCACATATCATTGTTTCTATACGTTCGATAATCACTTTTTTATTTTTAGTGTGAAAGATGCCGACAAAAAAGTGTTAACTAAGAAAGCTAGAAAAAAGGTTTACGTCGTGAATTGTTTTATTAAAAAAGACAATTGGAATTATTGGTAATTTAAAACAGGTAAAAAACATAACAGCAAGAGCGACTTTTACACTACAAAAAACTTAGAATGAACTATTAAAAGCTTACACCACATTAAAAATCGGACAACTAGTGATGCTGATAAAATAATATTGGTTGGAGTTTGCAATCAATTAGAGCCGATCGATCATTAACAATTTAAAATAATGTTAGAAAGTTTGACGACGATTTGATGGAAGGAATAACACCACTGCTGGCGATGTATTTCAATCGCGCAAAATTTTCAAAATGACAAGTTACGAGTTACGAGTTATAAGTAATTAGTTTGTAATTGAAAATTTTGCGCAATTGAAATAAATTGAACGTTTTTTATAATGTTTATGTAATTGATAAATAAACGTGACAAATAAAAAAATAGTTTTAATTATTATTATTAAATATGTTTCAATAATTATATTATATTTTAACAATAAAACGAAAGATATGCATTAAATTCTAATTATTTATGGCAGCAGTGGTGTTATTTCCATCAAATCGTCGTCAAACTTTCTAACATTATTTTAAATTGTTAATGATCGATTGTGTTTAATGATTAAAACTACTTTTACGGATTTTGTCGCGTTTATTTTTATTTTTTATTTTTTAATTCCCGACGTTTCGGGCGCTTTCCAGCACCCATGGTCACGGGGGACTGAGATGACTGACGTCCCGATGTCATTGTTAAACCCGGAGTACCTTCAGCTTTTTTGATTATTGTTTATGGTCCGATCTATGCAAAATGAACTGACTATGTCCTGAGGTCTTGCAGTGTTATGCTTGGGTTTAGTTTTAATTTTATTTATTATAGGATCCCAAGCAGGTGGTAGTACCCAGCATCCTTCTCTATTGAAATTAGGATGTTTTTTAATTTCAATAGCCTCACGTATCATCCTTGGTAGGAATCGGTGTTCTTTCGCGAGGATTTGTGGTCTATCAAATCTGATGTAATGGTTGGGGCCGTCTAGGATATGATCACAAACTGCAGACTTCCCGGAACGTTGATGCTTCACATCAGCTATATGTTCTTTTACGCGGGTCCTAATTGATCTTTTGGTTTGTCCTATATAAGAGAGACCACATTCACAATCAAGCTTGTACACTCCTGCATCTTGTAGAGGAATATGACACTTGACGGATGGTAGGAACTGACTAATCTTCTTCGGCGGCTTGTAGAATGTTCTAATAGAAGCTCGCTTCAAGATATAGCCAATCTTGTCTGTGACACCTCTGACATATGGTAGTACAGCAGGCACACGCTCGACTATATAAACAATAATCAAAAAAGCTGAAGGTACTTCGGGTTTAACAATGACATCGGGACGTCAGTCATCTCAGTCCCCCGTGACCATGGGTGCTGGAAAGCGCCCGAAACGTCGGGAATTAAAAAATAAAAAGTAAAAAATAAAAATAAATGCGACAAAATCCGTAAAAGTAGTTCTAATCATGTGCAATGTTCGCGTAAATATAAGAAATCATGACGATTGTGTTTAATTTTTTATTAGTTATACTAGTTTCTCCAGTTTCCTCTCGCATTTGTTCTAATTGATTGCAAATTCCAACCAATATTATTTTATCAACATCACTAGTCCACTGTCACTGTCCGATTTTTAATGCGGTGTAAGCTTTTCATAGTTCATTCCAAGTTTATTGAAGTTGTAGCAGTGGCGCTGGAATTAGTGGTAACGGGATTAGTGCACGCAGTTGAGGGAGGGAGGGAGGTTCTCTTCAAACTACGTAAGACACATCATTTAATTGAGCGGATGGTTGCAAATTAACTATTAATATCTTTATTATAATGGATTTCCGCAAAGTAACGCCTGATTCTATCAACTATCTCAACAGGTTGTTATGATGTTACAGCTTCTTCTTGATGAACTATCTACACCGGTAAACAATACCTTCTCCGGATAGAACCAGCATGAAACACTGAGATCTTTCTTTCCCTTCCCTTCTTAGTCACCCTGCGGTTATAAAAAATAGTTTGTGTATTTATTTTCAGCGTCTAGGGCAGATGGCAAACTGTCCATGTACTCATTGGACACACTGCGAATCAATCTGAAAGCGAAGTCCTCGACTACCAGAGAAAACCTGTCAAGGTACTAAACTCTACTACTAAACAGCGCTCTGAATATTCGGAGAAATGAAAATATATAAAAAATTAAATTACATCATTTAAAATAAGTTTTAACTGCGTATTGGCGATGTAGTGTTCTCTATCCCATATCGTCCCATAGATATCGTTAGATTGTAAATAAGGTTGTAGATCCATGTTGCCGTTATATTACTTGTAGAGCTAGTTGTAGCACGAATGGGTCGGCTCGACCGGGGAAGGACTACGCTCTCACAGAATACCTGCGTGAAAAATAGTAGCTTAACGCAGCTGTGTTTCGTATGGTGAGTGTGGAGAACTGGATACCATTTTACTGGAAAGGAGACATTCCATTTTAGTCCTCACGGGAGGATATGTAGGTGTCTGTGGGCCACAGCAACCACTTACCATCAGGTGGACTGTGTGCTCCTTTGTTACCCTATCCCATAAAAAAATTCACTGTACAGTGAACAAAATCTGTTGGTATCCAAGATTAATCCTGATAATATAAAAAATATCATATCATAAAATATCATACCGTCATGTGGTAAAATTAAACAGGAGATTTCCTGTGCCAACCCTCTTGCGAAACATGACAACGACGGTAAATATCCTCCTATGAGGTAATGGGGAGGCCTCTGTTCAACAGTGGACTTTTGATAATCTGTAATGGAGATGGTAATGGACATAGAATACTATAGTACACAATAGAATGGTTGTCAACCTTATTTTGTACGAGGATCGGTGTCACCAGGAGCACACATACAAGCAATTACGTCGTATTATCACTACTACAAACTGGATTTGCCGTGTTGACAGACTGAGCGAATTTACACATTTTAGACTTTTGATTAATGTTTTTGACACATCAATATTTCTTTATTTTTGTTTCTAATATTCACAAAATATAAATAGTTTCAACTTACTGGTTCTAGGATATATCTCCTTTATTTAAATTCAATTTCCAGCTGTTCTTTCGACATGTAATTATTGCACAATTTGCCATTTTTTAAATAATTTGCATGCAGCGGCGCTTGACACGAACATTGGAAACTATTGATTGCGTTGACATTTATAGGTATGAATTGACATGTTAGTGGCCTACACGGGCTCCGCCCACTCCCTCGTTCTATTATGTATTTAGTACCTGGTACACTGTACTGAAAACATCAAGAATATTTAGGAGGTAGTAAGGAACGGTATCAAAGCTAAATTCAAAATATTATTATTTAAAATTGGCCTTTACAAAGCGTTTTGTAAGAAGAAACGAGAAGTTTCAATTACCCTGTTAAGAAATCTATTTTTGCTGGCATATTTTTAGAAGAACCTATGTCCAATTACGATAGTAAAAAAGTTGAGGGAGAAGTATTTGTTAATAGATACACATCTTCTCACAGTGGAACATCCAAATTGTGCGGGACTGCCAGCAAAGCTCTCGAAAAGCGAGCACCAGATAGAAATAAAACGCCTAAACATCGAAGAAAATCTCCAACGTAAGTAAACTGACAGATATTATAAAATTATATGGTACGAGTATTGCCCCAAGAACTAGTAAACCTGTGCTTTTTTGTGCTTTTTCAGTAAAAACCGAATAATAATTAAAAAATAACTATGACTTCTCTCAAAAATATGAAAGCACTTATAAAGTAAGATCAGCTAGAGTAGGTGCAGAAATTTGTATAACTTTCCAATTTTCCGAAATTTTCCGGAATAGCACTGGTTCGATTTACTTGTTTTGGGTTTGACCCTTATTGTAAAGTCTGATCAATCGGATATTCAATAGGCAATTTGGTAAATGATATTAATGTATGAGATACCCATTTATGTTGTGTATGTATTTTCCTCTTTTTATCTCTTGAACATTAGTTTGATACAATTTACTAGATCTTGTGTTAATTTGAAGCAGCAAATAAATTACTTTTGCTTTCTTATTTTTTTTTAAATATTATTGTGACTGTAACACATTAAGAGTCCGTGGTCGAAATTTGAATGAAACTTTTTTGTCTTCACTAAGATTTTCCCCTGAATCCTGAAAGCGGTTAACGTACACAAATTGCACAAGTACGATTATCGAGGCAATTATTCTTAAATACATGTTCCGCGTTGGATTCGAACCCGTGGCACTCAATGCTAAGCCACTGCGCCACGGTACCGTCCAACCAGTAGATTGTTGTTGTTAACTGAAACTCTTGTATACCTTTGTATTTAATTTTATTGTATGTATATAAGGTTTTATATAATCTACAGTACGGCAAGAGCACGCACGCGGCGTGCTGAGGCCGACGTGCGCACGCTGGTCGAGGCCGTCACTGTAAGTATCACACGTACATAACGTACCTCGTGTACCTACAATACACCACACACCTATTTAAAGTACCTCATGTACCTAACGCTACATACGTACGATCATAGAATACTATAATACACAATAGAATTGCTGTCAACCTTATTTTGTACGAGGATCGGCGTCGCCGGGAGCACACATACAAGCAATTACGTCGTATTATCAGTTATCACTATTACAAACATATTTTAGACTTTTGATTAATGTTTCTGACTCGTAAATATTTCTTTATTTTTGTTTCTAATATTCACAAATATAAATAGTTTCGACTTACTGGTTGTAGAATATGTTTCCTTTATTTAAATTACATTTCCCGCTGTTCTTTCGACACGTAATACTTTACTATGACATTTACCTTTGCAAAGTCATTTATTACTTTTCGTATTGTATAATTACCACTGCTGCTTTTGTTCTACCGTAATATGCGACACATGCGACGTTTACAAACTCGCCAAGCAATGTAATGTGAAACATTAGATATCATTGAGCATTACGTATGTTTATAATACGGTAATATCGGTTTTGGAAGTAATCGAGCGCTAATTCATTTCTATTGTCTTATTATTACGATTTCTGTGTTCCTAGATTATAACTTGCACTATCTTAACTTAGTAAAAGTCTCTTCACTCTTGTGTTGAAGACGCCCAGATTGTAATCGGACGAAAATGCGGACGCCGGAAGATTACTGCCTTGTTGTACGCATTACGAAAGACAAAAAAAAAAACGTTTAGTTCGAATACGTGGTAAGTAGACAACAAAAGGATAAAAGCCCGCCATCCGGCGGGTTGTTTAATTGTTGAAAGGTTAGGGTGTAGTTACGGCATGTAATTCCTGCGTACACTTTCCAAAATCTATCATTTGATGTAATAATGTCCTGCAGACATAATTTCGGTCACGGTGGCTCACCGCAGAGTAGTTTTCTGCATAAGACAAGATTATAGTGCTCAATTGCATGCCCAGGTGCACTCTCTATTCGCCCGCTCTCATAGTTTAATGGGACGGCAATCCAACACGGCCGCAGAAAGATCAGGCACAGGACAAACGGCTTTCCGTGCTTTCCGAGACACGGGGGTGAAACACCGCCAACTTCCTAAATCTGGATTGCTTCTGAGAGTTTCTTGATACGTCAAATTTGAAAACTAATTTTTGGCCCGACCCGGGATTTGGACCTCAACATCGGCAGCCGCTATATTACGTTTACGACTAATAAAAACTATAGTGGAGATCCTCAAATCAACATAGAAAGATAGACGGTGAGATATTTCAAGTAACCAAGTTGTGGTTTGCAAATATTTTGAATATTTGAGTGAGTGTGTGTGTGTTTTAGTTGAACATGGTTCCGGCATGTTTTTAAACGAACGTATTGTTCTGTCTATATTTTTGATGGTCCTTTTTATTATAGAATAAGGATGAAAAACGAGTACAAGTTATATATAAGATAGGTAAGTTCATGCTGTGGCTTATAAACATCTACGTCTATCCTCTATCCAAAATTGAAATGCAGATGCGTTGTCACCCGTGAGGACTAATATGGAATGCCACGTTTCCAGTAAGAAATGTCTCCAGTTCTCTTTACTCATCATAAGAAATAAAGCATCAGGAAGCTGCTGTCGGTCTAAGTTACAATCTTGTGGAATCTATATTATATTGAATAAAACTATTTATACGGATTTTATCGCGTTTAATTAACTTATTTTTAATTCCCGACGTTTCGGTCTATATTTAGTTTAGTTCAGTTCTATATTATATCTTTAATTTCTTTGCAGTGCACTTCGAGTCATGTCAGTTTTGAAGCCAGTTCACAACGCTCCCCAAATGCAAACAACCTAACTTACCGTAGTAAGGGAGCCAGCCAGAGCGGAAAAAGCAAAGAGACGACTCCCAGATCGAAACATCAAGAAACTTCTCGAAAAATCCAGAAAGTCCCAAACGTGCCCAAAAATTCGATTTGTGACGAAAATTCTACAGTTAAATCTTGTAGTGAATTCAGGAATGAGGAGATAAACGTAGGAATTACGAAAAAGAATTTTATGGAGTCACCTAGAGCTCACCTGTCACTTGGACAAGATGGCGCTCAAAGCAGACGGAGTGGAAAGGAAAATATGAAGGTCAGTGATAGTTTAGAACTACTTTCGTTTATGTAGATATTACTATTTCAACGATTAAAACCAATCGAAATATTACTGGCCATTGCGTTAATTTCTAACTCTTAAAGTATAAAAATAATTTTTACTGGTGAAAAAATTAACTTTTAAAGTAAAAGGTGACTTTAAAGAGCTAAAAGAAAATAAAAATAATTTCACATGATGAAGTCGAGGCTTTGAGTATCCTATACAATGTTTCAATAACTTTTAATTTTTATTAAAAAAAATCTTGAAAAATATCATTATCTTAATGTCGTCTAAATAGTAACATTGAAATGTTTTGCCAATCTATTACTTATATTTGCGAACAATATCGACCCCTAGTTGGTGTTTTTGGCGATTTTTAGTAAATTATCTTCTCCAAATTTATATTAAACTTGAACACATTCCTGATGTAATAACCTATTTAATAGAAACACCATCAAAATCGTTTAACATTTAACAAAGATATTGCGTTACATACATACAAAGAAAAAAGGAACATACATTGGAATCAAAAATCTCCTTTTTTTAGATGGCTAAAAAAACAGGTACCTACTATATCAGTCCTCAGGGGTAACAACGCAACTGCATTTTGATTCTGAATGATTATGGAGATGTGGAGGTCTAAGAGTAACAGCATTCACTTACTGTCAGGATGACTGTGTACTTGTTTGTCACCCTTCATCATCATTATCATCGTTACAGCTCTACACAAGTCTACTGCACACAGGCCTTCCTCAAAGAATGCCACAAAGCACGGTTCTGAGCTACCTGCATCTACCGATACCGGATGCAGGAAGCATGTCTTACCAGGTCGTCACTGTGCACTTCGCCTAACGGTACGAGACTGGCACCCTTTAAGAAAGGTTCTCCTTTCTTCTCCATCGATTGTCGGTTTTTCGAGCTGGCCCATTGCCACTTGCGCTTACTAATCCGTTGGGCTGTGTCGGTCACTCTGGTTCTACTGTGGATTTCTAAGTTTATCACGCAGAGAAACCCCGAAGCATAGCTCTCTCACTGGCTCTCCATAGCATCCTTTTATAAAAAAATTTATTTACAATTTATTTTTGGTATGTCATTAAGTCTCATGGTGTCCTAATCACTTTGACTTAAAGTGATAGATTGCAGGAGACTTAACGGAATATATTGAGTAGTGTTTCAATATTTGGGGTTCAGAAGTATTATGAAGTTTCCCCCTGTATCCATAGACTTCCTACATCTCCTACAATTCGCTTATCGGTACGAAATTGCAACTCGAGAACATTTCACTTTCAACGGTTGTCGGTTTTTTGAGCTATATGGCCGGCCCATTGCTACATCAGCTTATTGATCCGTTAGGATATGTTGGTAACTCTGGTTCTACTGCGGATATCCGTATTTCTAAATCTAGCACGCAGAGAAACACAGGATATTGTGGCTCTGCCAAGCATGGTGATCAAGCTCTCTAGCTCGCTGAGCGACTCTGAGCCTTCTCAAACGGCCAGCAGGTGTGATCAGATAGATGCAGTGTAGGATCACGTCTCATATCTATGTATGCAATGATAATGCGTACTGGTTGTTCATTATCTCTCAATTTATTTTTTTACTTATTCTTAGTTGCCAGTAATGAAGGTAATACATTTACAATTTAGGAAAGGAAGCCTTTATTTTAGCGGTCGATCACTGAACATGGCCTGATAGGAATGGGGGAAGGCATTTAATTCCAATAAAGAACATTTTAAAAACAAAAGTGCTTTATTGAAAACGCAAGTTTTCGTGGAGCGTAAAAAATGTAGAATCTAGCAATACAATTTCCTTGCGGCCGAAGCACGTACATGCGCGTCGCGGCCACTTCGCATAAATTATAAAAATACTTTGTTTATTTACAACAAAAAAATGTCTTTAAAGCGACCACTTGTGGTGTACAAAAATATATACTATGTTACCAAAATCCCCATTTCTCCATGATCGATGTAAAATATATCCAAAATATATTTTTATTTCTTGAAAAACGTCAAGGGATTCAGGCACATTGGGACCTTAAAAGAAGCCCATAAACAACATATTTAAATGTAAAGCTTAACACGGTCATCGTGCGTGCTGTATGTACTTTAAGTGCACTTATTTTATAATAAATAGACATCGGTAAATATATCGATGGGTGATTATATGTCGGTTTGTCAGGTGCGCCTACGCGCATCTGGTGCAGAGAGGCTTGTTGTCCATCACCGAGAACGTAGAATCTGTTACCGGGTTTCTGCATTTCTGAAATTAAAAAAAAAGATTAGGGACTAAATTTTTTGTTCATTAATAAAAATGGGAAGTTGCCGTTTGTTGGCGACTTAAGAAAAATCTATCGCACCATTCGTCCTGTAGGTTTAGTAAGAGTGGACTAGAGGATTACTAAAAATATGTTATATTTTCCAATAGATGGCGATATAATCATCTAGTTTACGCCAGACGTTCTCAACGTGGTAGAGCCACGCTACAGCTGTATAATGGTTGTAGCACGAATGGGTCGGCTTGACCGGGAACGGACCACGCTCTCACAGAATATCACTGTAAAATTGCAGTTTAACGCTACTGTGTTTCGTATGGCGAGTGTAGAGATCCGGAGACTCTTTTATACTGGAAACGAGGCATTTTATCTAAGTGCTCAGGGCTGACTAAGCATCTGCGTTTTGATTCTTAAGCGGGGATAAATTTAGATGTCTATGGATCACAGCATCCACTTACCATCAGGTGGAATGTGTGCTCGATTTTACCCTTATTCTATAAAAAAAGATAGCAGCGTCAATGGCGTCTGATAGTGCGATCGTCAATCAGTTTGCCAAGCGAAATGACTAAGGCAAATCCTCTCTATAACGTATACCTACATGAAAATGACTTTTTTATAGGATAAGGATGACAAAAGAGCAGTCAGCAGCAATCCACCCGATGGTGAGTGGTTGCTGTGGCCCATAGACATTTAACATCTATCCTCAATTACGAATAGCAATGCAGATGCATTATCACTCGCGAAGACCAATATGGAATGCTCTATTTTCAGTGAAAAGGGTCTCCGGTTCGCTACTCCTCACCATTCGTGCTACGACTATAATATAGCTTCATCTGGACTGGTCAGCTCGAATTTCAAACACATTTATTTTAATTTTTTTTTGCTTACTTACTACTTTGTGTGTTATTTTATAGCAGACCACGCTTTGATTCATCTGTTTTATATTTAATTAAGAATATTGTATCATTGGTCTTTTAAAAAATGACAATAACAAGATAAATCCGGAGTTTCTTCTTCGTATAGAGTACCGTCATTTCGAAACTTGTTACTGCTACCGCTGTGATGACTAACAGAGTGGAACAATCAGTCGGCGTTTGTCTTCCCATCCGAATTCAACGTGGCTTTCTTCAAGGCAAGAGTTAATAGACTTTAGTTTAGTACTTTTAAATCGCGTTGACAAAGTACGCATATAAATAATGACATCGTTTTCTTAGTCATAATAAACAAAATCAGTTTTATTTGATTGTCGAAAACAACGTTCGCGGCTTACAAAACGAGAAGCTAGTCTCCTCGGCCGCTCACAGTCGACTAAAGAAGTTACGGATAATTGAGCGTAACTTAGTGCGCAAATTATTAGTACCGTAGTGCTCGTCTAGTAGTATACAACTCGCGGCACGTAACTCTAGCGCTGAACGAAACGTGGCAGGGATGGCTTCGAATTTCGTATCACTACGGGGGACGGTTTGCGAATGGAGAGACAATCAGTGCGTGCGAACGATACGCACAGCCAATCGCAATAATGACGCAATAATGCGTAATACGGATTATGCGCAATAAAACTTTTTCCGCAATTGTACCATGAGGTTGTAGATAATGATATGTCGGGTGTTTGGTATAGTATAAGTTAGTATAGGTAATAGTAGTGGTTTGATAAAGGGGTTGAAGTGTGTGGCGAAATTTATGGTTTTTAAAAAAGAAGAAATACGATATGTAAATAAGAAGGGGGGACGAGCAAGTAGATGAGTTTGTATATTTGGGATGCGTATTTAGCAAGGATGGGAGATACGATAAGGATATAGAACGGCGAGTAAACGCAGGGAATAGAGTAAATGGGGCCTTACACTCTATTATGAAAAATCAGAATGTGTCAAAAAAGGTACGAATGGTAATTCACAAGGCTGTGTTAGTCCCTACTTTAACGTATGGTAGTGAAAGTTGGGTGAGGCAGAAAAAGCACGAGAGTAGAATAAACGCAGTAGAAATGCGCTCGTTAAGGAGTATGTTAGGGCTGAATCTAAATGACAAGGTAAGAAATTGTGTAATAAAAGAAGAGTGTGGTTTGCAAGATGATGTTGTGACCATGATTAAGAAAGGAATGCTTCGGTGGTTTGGTCATGTGGAAAGAATGAATAAGGAAAGAGTGACAAAGCAAATTTATGTTGCAGAAGTGAACGGCAGAGTCGGAAAGGGACGTACTAGGTGGAAGTTTATCGACCAAATTGGCGAAATATTGAAAACGGGCCAAATTAGGAAGTACCCTTAACCGACGAGCATGTATGCGTAGGTATATGAATGTGGAGGAGGCGAGAGAGGTGTGTCAGGATCGTGCCAAACGGAAGTCTGTACTCTGCCTACCCCTCTGGTGTTTTGTATTAAGTACACATGAGTAAAGAAACCGTACAGAGGCAATGATTCTAAGGAGCTGTCAAATTTTTTATCTATTTTGATAGGATTGACGTAAGAGGATATAAAAATTTTTTTTACATTATTTTATTATGTCCCTGTGATAAAAATATATCTTTTGCATACTACTTACTCTAATTAATGTATTAATATATAATTTTTTCCTTAAATAATCTAATAGAAAGCACTCAAATAACATACGAATATAGGTACAAACTTGCATACGTTTTAAAATATCACTATCAATACTACCTATTATTTCGAAATCAAAATATTTAAGAAATCTTTGCTCAAGCAATTCATCAAATGCGATAAATTTATTGAAATATAATATGAAGTATATGATATACATCTATCACATTTAAAATTATATAAAAAAGCGTTCTAGTTGCGACCCGAAAGGTCCACACGACTAAATTCTCAGTGAAAAGCATAAAAAAATATCATATGTTGTAATATTTTTACAATTTTTCATTCGATACAAAAACGACTTGACCGATTTTGCTCAAAATTTAATGAGGTCTAAGTTACATAATTATGCGTTAAATGAAACTGGTCCACCACTGTCACTGTCACTGTCAATACCACTCTTTGTTCTCAAGACAAACGAAGCGAAAACTGAATCCGAACATACATACATACGTACATGTGCACACACGGACATCCTCTTAAAAGCCATACTATTCGACTCTAAAGACCTAGAAACGTGGAGATATGTTAAAATTTCCAATTTGCAAAATCGGACCCATTACAATAACTTCCCACTGGGAAGTTAATAATAATTAAGTCTTAACTACATGCTACTACCATGTTTGGAATAATTAAATAGTGATATATTTTTATTAAGTTTAATTGCTTTGACTTGTTCAATTACAATATTATTAAATATAAGTGCTCTTAATATTTTAATAATAAATGTAAACACGTTTAAGTTTTTATATTTTACTTGACGTTCTTTACGTATTTGTTATTTTTAAATAAACGTAAAACGAATACGAGAACAATGAACGACGTGTACAGTGTACAACCCTGAGCTTGAGCACTGGCCGAGCCGATTTAAAGCAGTTTCTCTCTCGAGGTAATAGTATAGGTGATAGTAGCGGGGGTTTGGTATAAAGTAATAGTGTAGGTGATAGTAGCGGGGGTTTGGTATAAAGTAATAGTATAGGTGATAGTAGCGGGTATTTGGTATAAAGTGATAGTACAGGTGATAGTAACGAGTGTTTTGTATAAAGGAATAGTGTAGGTGATAGTAGCGGGCGTGTTGGTATAAACTATTAGTAATAGTATAGGTGATAGTAAAGGGGGGTTTCGTATTAAGTAATAGTAGCGTGTGCTCACATTGCAAGTGAAGCACTTGGCGTGCCACTTGGCGTCGAGCGCGATGATGGCCTTGTCGACGATGGGCTGGCCGCAGCCCGCGCACCGCGCCGCGAACTTGTCCGCGTAGCACGACGAGCAGTACGGCCTCCCGGCCTGCGGACACGGCATGTTAGAGTTTAAAGAAAGAAAGAACAAAGCTTCAACTTGCAGAAAATCAATTTTACAATGAAAAAAAAGAACATCATCATACTTACGTGTTTAAAAAAAATAGAATAAGGGTGATAAACAAGCACACAGTCCACCTGATGGTAAGTGGATATTGTGGCCCATAGACATTTATCCTCGATTCAAAATCAAATGTAGATGCGTTATCGCCCATGAGGACTAAGGCTCCACCACGCTGCAGTTATGTTATGGCTGTAGTTCCCTTATTCTATTATAAAAAAGGGAATTAGTTTAGGCTATTTCGGATATACTTGTATTATATTGGAGGTCATACCTGTTCCATAAAACCGCCTCCGCCGAGCTCCTTCCTGCATCCGCCGCAGACGAAGTGGTTGGAGTGCCACGACACGCCCAGCGCTTGGATCACCCGCTGCAATACAGAATATTTATTTTTATAGCAACTATTATACATATATTTGCACAGGATAGGTACAACTAGTCAGATCCGTGGGTACAGAGCGATATTAGAAGGTAATTACTTGTGACGTGGCGGGATCGAGTCCGTCGGACTGTCTGGGTAGATATCTCCTTAGGTTTTTACACTGCACGTGTAGAGCCAGTATGATTACAGGTTGTGAAGCGTTCCATTTTAGATGTGTGCGTGGTAGAGCCATGCTGTAGTTATGTTAGTAGTATGTTGTAGCACGAATTGGTCGGCTCGACCGGGGAAGGAGTACGCTCTCACAGAATACCTGCGTAAAATAGCAGCTTAATACTGCTGTGTTTCGTATGGTGAGTGTAGAGATCCGGAGACCTTTTTTACTGGAAACGAGGCATTCCATCTTAGTCCTCACGGGTAACAACGCATCTGCATTTTGATTCATAATCGAGGATCGATTTAGATGTCTATGGGCCACAGCAACCACTTACCATCAGGTGGACTATGTGCTCGTTTGTCACCCTATCCTATAAAAAATGTATAATTGCCTATATTTTCCTAGATTCAGCCTTATTTCTTACAACATTCAGAGGACAAAAATTGGTTGTGTATTGGAACTGTGCCAATCACATGACGCTGTAATATATCAATAGCAAGTAGCAATTAACGAATTCAGTTAGATCCGTAACCGTAGACGTGAATGGCATAGAAAGCACGTTATTTTTTAGGGTGGGGTAACAAACGAGCACACAGTCCACCTAATGGTAAGTGGTTGGTTCCGGTTCTCTACGCTCACCATACGAAAAACAGCAACATTAAGCTGCTATTTTACGCTGGTATTCTGTGAGAACGTGGTCCTTCCCCGGTCGAGCCGACCCATTTGTGCTACAATTACACTACTAATATAATACCAGCATGGCTCTACCACGATAAAAATTAAAAAACGTTTACACTTATTTATTTTTGTTCTTGTATGGTATGGTATCTATTACATATAAATAAAACTGAAGTGTCTATCTGTAATGTCGAAGTAACTACCTTATATTAACCTCAGGGGGTTCTTTGCATGTTATTAGGACATAAATATCCATTTTGTTAAATTTTATCTGTCTGTCTAAGTTAATTTCGGGACTGCCAAACCGATTGTGATAGGTGATGTGACATTGTGATTTTTCAAATAAAATATATATGTATTTGCTTATAAATGTATTTTTGAAAAAAATGCAGAATTTTTTGTCAAAATAAAAATCCAAAGGCCACTATTGAAGTGAAAATACTTTGTCGATGTAGTGGAGAAATTTAGTAGGGTATTAAAAAAATAAAACGTCACGTTTACTTGTAATGTTTCACCGCCGGGGTTGCATGAAATATGTCTATTATTATTTAACATACATACATAAACACTCACGCCTGTCACCAAGAGGGGTAGGCAGAGACTACAGACTTCCATTTGGCACGATCCTGATACACCTCTCTCGCCTCCTTCACATCCATACACCTACGCATACATGCTCGTCGGTTAAGGGTACTCCTAATTTGGCCCGTTTTCAATAAATCGCCAATTTGGTTGATAAATTTTCGCCTAGGACGTCCCTTTCAGACTCTGCCATTCACTTCTGCAACATAAATTTTCTTTGTCACTCTTTCCTCATTCATTCTTTCCACATGACCAAACCACCGAAGCATTCCTTTCTTAATCCTGGTCACAACATCATCTTGCAAACCACACTCTTTTCTTATTACACAATTTCTTACCCTGTTATTCAGATTCAGCCCTAACATACTCCTTAACGACCGCATTTCTACTGCGTTCATTCTACTCTCGTGCTTCTTCTGCCATACCCAACTTTCACTACCATACGTTAAAGTAGGGACCAACACAGCATTGTGAATTGCCATACGTGCCTATTTCGACACATTTTGACTCTTCACAATAGAGTGCAGGCCCCATTTACTCTATTTCCCGCATTCACTCGTCGTTCTATATCCTTATCATATCTCCCATCCCTGCTAAATACGCAGCCCAAATATACAAACTCATCTACTTGCTCGATCAACTCCCTTTCTATTTTTATTTCACAAATCGTTTTACTTTCTTCTTTTTTAAAAACCATAACCTTCGTCTTACTTGCGTTTACATTCATACCCCTTTCTTTTAATGATCTGTTCATTAATGTAACCATCATTTGCAACTCAGCCGCCGACAACGCAAGAATAACTTGATTATCGGCGTACAAAAGGCATTTGATGGTTAACTCACCCATTCTTAATCCGCATTCTTCAACTTTCAAATTTTGCAAACAACTGTCCATAAATAGGTTGAACAGCCACGGGGAAGCCACACAGCCCTGTCTGACACCTTTATGAATGTCAAACCAGTCCGAGTAGACCCCGTTGATCCTAACACAAGCACTAGAGTCCCTATAAAGAGACTCCAATGCCTGTATCAAGCCAGCGCTCAACCCAAATGAGTTTATTGTTTGCCATAGCACATCCCTATCCACTCTTTCATAGGCCCTTTCCAAGTCCATAAACGCACAAAAAACCTTTTGGTTTTTGGCCAAAAACTTCTCCGCGATCATGCGCATGGAAAAGACTTGATCTGTACATCTCATTCCCTTTCTAAATCCCGCATGCACATCCCAAAATTTTCCATCAGTTTCTTTCATGACCCTTTCAATTAGTACCTTAGCATACAGTTTTCCCACAACGCTAAGAAGGCTGACATGCCACGGTAGTTTTTACAGTCCTGCTGCGACCCTTTTCCCTTATATACTGGGACTATCACGGCTTTGCACCAGTCTCCCGGTACCCGCTTCAGTTCCCAGCATAAATTAAACAAGGTGTGCAGCAGGCCTGCCACCACTTCCTCTCCAGCCCTTAGCATTTCAAGTGAAACTCTATCATATCCAGCAACCTTACCTGCTTTCATGCTTTTCATTGCTTTCATTATTTCATCTATACTTATCTCGCTACCTCTTTCCTCTTCTTTCGGAGTTTCTACTTCACTTAGTACACACGTTGTCTCCTCACTCATAAACACGCTTTCAAAATATTCCTTCCATCTCTTTAAACTCAAAACTTCATCATTTATTTAACATACATTTATGCAAAATACAAAATAGAAGAAGAATGATTTCGTAAATTTACGCTAATACTACACTTTGAATAAAACTATTTATAGGGTTTTAACGCGTATAATTAACTAATTTTAACTTATTTTTAATTATAGACGTTTCGGGTGCTTTACAACACCCATGATCACGGGGGGGGGGACTAAGATAATTGACATCCCAGTGTCATAGTTAGCTGCCTACCTTCAGTTTTTATATAAAATACGTATATATAGTTATATTCAATATAATATGTCGTAAAGAAGTTTGACTTTTTTAGTGTGTACAAAATTTACACGCACATTTTTTTAAATTAAGTTCTAAGCGAATGAAGTCGCAGGATAAAGCTATTATATAAACGGCACCCATTGCATTGTTTATTTGCAGACGAATGTTTGTCTCATCGCGAACGGTTACATCATCGAAAGCTGTATGAATGATTAAAACGTTTCCCTTGTAACAGACATCACGTCCTTACTAAAGGAATAAAAAAATAGCCTCGAGTAGGGTTACTATGTATTACATGCGGAATTCGGGACGTAATAGAGTTCGTGAAAATTTATATATATATTTAAATAATTAGTATATAGAAAATTATACAAAATATTTGAATATCAATAATAATTGAGAGAGGAAAGTCCAAGTAATTTACCATAGACCGTACTAGAATGGTCACTGAGCCTTTCTCGTCAGACGTGATTTATCTATATAGTATCAAGAGCAGGCTATTTAGTTTCATGGTAAATTATTAGTTATACCAGTTTCATTTTAGATCATTATTTGTTGAGTTACTGTAAGATTACATATGTTTCTTAATAAACTTGTAACAGTCCACTGGCTGTAGTACTCTTTTTTAAAATACGGGTAATAGGGAATACGGGTGACAAACGAGCAAACAGTCCACCTAATGGTAAGTTGATGCTGGTAAGAATCAAAACGCGGATGCGTTCTCACCTCTTTAATGGAATGCCTCGTTTCCATTAAAAAGGGTCTTCAGGTCTCTACACTCACCATACGACACCCAGCAGTATTAAGCTGCTATTTTACGCTGGTATTCTGTGAGAGCGTGGGCCTTCCTCGGTCGAGCCGACACATTCGTGCTACAACTATAATATAGCTGCAGCTTGGTTCTACCACGTATAAAGCTTAGCTCGCCCAAAGGAGTGGTTTAGGCAGATTTTTCATTCATATTATATAACGTTTATGATGTCTTGTCTCTATCGATTTTTATGGAAAAGTAATCATCACATACGTTTTCTTCTTCTTCCTTAGCTCGTAAAAGCCTACTCGACATGAACCTCTCTCTCTCGCTTTAGGGAAAATTAGCCCTTCATGCTTGGCAGGCGGATTGACCGTCGCCATCGTTGCTGCCCGTCGTCGTCGTCGTCGTCGTTAGAGTATTTTACGTGTATGATTAGCTTGATTGATAACATATATCGGAAGCTATCAAAGGGGGCAATCGTTTTTGGGCCTACTAGAAACTTTAACGTAATTTAATGGTTTTAACACATTAAAAAAGACACCAATTGACCATAGTAAACTGTTTAAAGATTTTATGAAAATCTAACCAGAATCATGATAAATAATACAATTAAGAATCAATCATAACGGGAATTAGAGTAAATGGGGCCCTACACTCTATTGTGAAGAGTCAAAATGTGTCAAAAAAGGTACGTATGGCAATTCACAATGCTGTGTTGTTCCCAACTTTAAGGTATGGTAGTGAAAGTTGGGTGTGGTAGAAGAAGCACGAGAGTAGAATAAATGCAGTAGAAATGCGGTCGTTAAGGAGTACGTTAGGACTGAATCTTAATGACAGGGTGAGAAATTGTGTGATAAGAGAAGAGTGCGGTTTGCAAGATGATGTTGTGACCAGGA